TTAGATTTCTGTTCCCTTACCCAAACAGTTGTAGTGATCAGAGAGGATCAAAAGGAAGCTCCTTTTGTACAAATGAGCCAATGCCACACATTTATTTGATTAGTCACATAGAAATAGTGCAAAATCTCAAATATCAGTTATATGTCATATAGATAGTTTATGGTACTTCTTTTCTTTTTAAAAAAAAATTAAACAACATCCATTGACAATCATTCTCATTAAATGGAAAAGAGCAGCATGAATGTCTCCTTTTGTGATTCGTTGAAATATTACGTTTTGGAAATATGTGAGTTAATGGTGAGTAAATGATGACAGATTTAATTTTTTATTTTTTGAAGAACTATTTCTTTAATGTGGTATTAGTTACTTTTCAATGCTTTGGATTAATGATGAATAATTTCAGATAATTAGTCCAAATAATTTGGAGTTCATTTGAGTAATTGCACAGAGAAAAATTAAATCTGATTACCACTGAAGAGTGTGACTCTACCTTTGTAACTCTTCTTCCAGTTGACGATTATATAAAGCTCCCTCTCGCAGTATGGCTGTTGTGTTCAGTCTGACAGGTAAGCTGTTCATCTGTGCCGTTGTAAACAGATACATTCAAACACTTTTTAACAGTACAACGATCCTCAATAATAGAAAATAGGTTCAAAAGCACATGGTGCATGTGTCAAGAAACTTTTTTATTTTTTTATCAATGCATGCTCTATCTAGTCCAAATGACCTTTTGGGTGGCAGGGCTTCCAGAAGTATAAAGCTTGTCAAATTGGAGTTCAGCATCACGGCTTTGAAGAATCTGCGATATCGTGTTCTGCTCATCAAAAAATATAAGCATTTATAGCTTTTGAATTCTGTGGTGCTGTGGCATTGAAGAAAAAACATCGCTCAGTTCAGTTGTGCTGTAAGACACTAACTTGAGTTTTCTCAGACTTCTGCGGGTTTGCGCATCTGAACTGCTGAGAGTTTGCTTCATTCAGGATTTGCTAATGGAGTAAGTAAAAAAACACCATGAGGTAAAGTCTGAAGAGAAATTAATGTAATAATTACGACAAAATTAAAAGCAGTTTGCTTCCCAGTATCTGTTTGTGCTTACTAAAGCTTTCTGTCGATTACTCTGCTTCATCTCATCCAGAATTTCTGGTTCGTTTGGAGTTCTGTGAGTGGTAGCTGGTACCTGAGGAAGGAGGCAAGCAAATGCCACAATCAACATACTTTTACCATTGAAAGTGAAAAATTTCATAACACAGTGGTTCTCTGCCTTTTTAACTCAAAGGCCCCTGTTATCCAAAGCGACATTTGAAAGCCACTCCTCATATTTCTGCTGTAATTATGACAAGCTGCTTGTTTTAATGTTTTAATTAATATAACTGAGTGTATTAATATATTAAATGTATTAACCATTATTATTTTGTGATTCTAGAAGTTTCATAAAGCATATGTTTCTTCGATAAAATCAATAGTTATTGACTTTTAGTTGTTGGTTATTGATTTAGCAGTTTATGCATTTTTAGCATTTTATTAGATTTAAATTATTTTAATATATTTGATCCTGTCCCCCCCATTTCCTGAGTCGCCAGCCTCCTGGTTAAGAACCACTGTCATAATGTATTGGTCTAATATCTGAATCTTTTGACCTTTTCCCAAACAACCAATAATGCAATAATAAAATGTTGATTGGATGAAATGAGTTAGGTGCTTTTTCAATAGATTAAAAAAAATGACTGACTCATAAAACACATATTTCATTATTTCAAGTATTTATTTTAATACTTGCCGGCTTGAGCTTGTCCTTCTGTGGAATGACTTCAGGAGCAGGGAGTGGTCGAGCTTTGGGCTGGGTCAGATCAAATTCCCTGGGCTTAGTGTTTTTCCTGGGAGATTTTTTGGGCAGATTTCCTCTGCTCATTTTTTTGGCAAGCTGATCCAACAGCACCTCAATCTCATTGCACCATCTGATTGGAAGAATAAAGAATAAATAACAGAAATAAAAAGTGCAAAAACGTGTGTAGAGCAGAATCTATTAGTTACATGTTCTGGCACTCAGGAAACACTGAGCCACACCTTTTTCAAGCCTCCAGCTAGAATTCATACTCTCATTAATAATTGAATTTTTACTAAAAACATCCACCTAATTAATATACCTATTTCAAGTGATGACATACAGACACTTATAAATAATTCAGGATATGTATTTATTTTTTGAAAGTGTGATTTAATGCAACACCAGCCTTTAAGGTAATATCGGCTGAAGGTATCAAGTGCACATATGCATCACACAGTCAAATAACTTGATATTCAGCACTAATAAACACTCTTTCTTCTTTATTATTAGCATTTTACCTCAGCAATGGGGTAATCCAGTTATTATCTACAACTGCGGCATCATAGATGTGACTCCATTCTCTCTGGATGTGTGTTGTGAGGTTGCTGATGTTAAAGAAAAAACTCAGGAACTGAGGTATCGGACAGAAAACAAAGAATGGGTAAATGTATAATATAATGTTGAAATATCAGAACTTCATACTCAGTTGTTATTCAGGTTCACTGTAAATTAAATTTTCATTCTATTTTTCTAGATTTATAAACTGGTCCATAAAATAGTGCACATAAAGGATTTATGTGTATAGTACATGTGTTTTGCTTACTTTGTGCATTTTTGAGATGTCTAGAGACTTGATAATTCTACTGAAATGCTCCAGGCCAAGATCATCAAGACAGAACATGGCGAGATAACAGACAACTGAGAAAACCAAACACAAGGCAAAATTAGATCTGTTACCTTTCTGAATGTCTGAATCTAAATTAACTTCATAGCAAAAAGAAACAGTAGTTGGGTTATAGTAATATTACCATCAGTAGTTTGAGACTAAAAAAAATATTATTCGTAATACATTAACAAAGTTAATTTACCAATGAACAAGTTTCGATCCACCCTGAATAATTTTTTTCCATGGTGATTGTAAAAGATGCTGACCACAACATCCAAAAGCTTTATGTGCATGTTACATCCATACAAAGCATCAATAATAAACTTCTGGTCAGCAGAAGAGAGATTCTAAAAGACAGAAGACATGGGACTATGATTATTATGTGTCACTATAGTGAAGATCAGTGTAATTAAAAAAGTCATTAATTACTAGCTACTAAATACATCTTCATGTACTAACTATTACTGTTCTAACTACTCTCTCTAAATATTGCATTACGCATTACTAATTACTTTCTAAATCCCATATAAACCACAACGAGTTGAACAATACAAGTATAGACATGACACAGCTCTTTTAACTCTTTCAAATAAATAATACAAATAAAATTGCATAAAAAGACTGTTCAAAACAGTTACTGAAAGGTAGACTGGTCTAATGTGAATTCAAAAAGTAAGACTGGTTACCCCTTGCTAACTGTTAGTTGGTCAAACAAGTTTGTAAGACACAACATAGTGTCTATGTTTAGGCAACTGGCCCCAGTTCTATATTCTGCAACATCAGAAGTAACTGTAATTCAATTAAATTAAGAAAAATTAAAGGAACACTCCACTATTTTTGAAAATAGGCTCATTTTGCTACTCCCCTAGAGTTAAACAGCTGAGTTTTAGCGTTTTCGAATCCATTCAGCCGATCTCTGTGTCTGGCGGTAGCACTTTTAGCTGTAGCTTAGCATAGATCATTGAATCTGATTAGACCGTTAGCATCTCGCTCAAAAATTACCAAAGAGTTTCTATATTTTTCCTATTTAAAACTTGACTCTTCTGTAGTTACATCGTGTACTAAGACCGACGGAAAATGAAAAGTTGCGATTTTCTAGGCCGATATGGCTAGAAACTATACTCTCATTCCGGCGTAATAATCAAGAAACCTGAAAATCATATCATAAATGCGTAATATCATTGCGCCTGCTGCACCCATGGTACGGCAGCAAAGTTTCTTGATTATTACGCCGGAATGAGAGTATAGTTTCTAGCCATATCGGCCTAGAAAATCACAACTTTTCATTATTAAGCGAGATGCTAACGGTCCAATCAGATTCAATGATCTATGCTAAGCTACAGCTAATAGTGCTACCGCCAGACCCGGAGATCGGCTGAACGCATTCGCAAACAGTAAAACTCAACTGTTTAACTCTAGGGGAGTTGGAAAATGAGCCTATTTTCAAAAATAGTGGAGTGTTCCTTTAAGAGTAATCCCTTACTTTACTTTTTCAAGGGAAAGTCATTTTAAAAAGTAAAAAAAAGAGGCAGTAATTAATAACTTAGTAATGCATTACACCCAGCACTAGATAAGATACTCATGATTTTAAACATGTGGGCATATGTATGTATATGGAGGAGAATAGGCCTGTGTTAGAAAAGAATACCTTAAGATCCTTGGCAGTATCCTCTGCAAAACTGTCAATGCATTGTTTGTCCTCTTGAAAGTCGTCCAGGAGCCTTGTGACCTCGTTGACAAGTTCTTTGTAGTTCATTCTCACTGGATTTCTCAGCCAAATTAAATATACTTTCGGATCAATAGATAGCAGTCCGATAATGTGGATACTTTTTTACTTAGCTTACCTGATTCAGAGCATTTTAATAAAATTGGTCAGTGTTAATTTTTTTTGATAATGTCCTATGAAAAACAGCTACAGTGTTTTGTTGTCGCCTGGCAACAGCGAGGCGGCCCGTCTTTTCCTGAGAGAGCTATTCCCTTGGTTCTCTTTTGTCCAAAAATGAAACATTTATTGAAAATATATAATATTAATGATAATAATAATTCATTTAAATAGCATTTCAGTAGCGTGAAGTGATTTACAAAAAAATGAAAGTTAAATAAATGTGTACAAATAATTAAAATAATGATGTGAAGACATATATTTGAGAAATATGAATGTTTCCTTTGTTTATTTATGTAAACAAAAAGGACTGTTAATAAAAACAACTGTACTAAATTATTTAAAAATTAAAAAACGCGGAGTGTTTGGCAACCCTAGCGTAATCAGTCAAGCAGCGCAACTTCCGTAGTCCGACTGAGCGCTAGCTCAATAGCTTAGTCATGAGCAGCCCGTGTGTTTGGGGACAAAGACAAGCGCTCGGCTGCTGGATATAAGGGCAGAGTCCGAGTCCGTGATTAGCTAATAGTGGCTTAACACTGCCTGAGTCTGTTTTTTGGCCTCTACTTAACACTGTCAGCGCGGCTTTGTTAAAGAGCAGGCGCTAGCTTAGCTCGCTAGCTGTGTGTTTGTGTGCGGGTTTAAAGGTCCGGTTCGGGTTTGGTACGGAGCTTTCGCTAAACTGGCGAGGTGACCAATGATGAATCGGTTCCGAAAGTGGCTTTATAAGCCAAAGGTAAGCTTGCCATTAGTTCAATAAAAAACAACAACTCAACATATAGCTTTATTATTAAATGAATGTGTTTCAAAACATAGCGAGCTGTCTAGTTAGACAGCATTCGGGGTATCATATGATGTGGGCATCTTACCTAGCAGCATTTTGCATTTTGGGTCGTCGTATAATACAAGTTTTTCTAACAGCTATTTTGGCATCACATGATGTGACCTGCCTACCTTGACCATTTTGGACATCATATGCCAACATTTCCTTGTAGGTAGTATCTTCACTACGTTTTGAAACACAGTCCTTTACTATTCATTCAGATGACTTTGTCCTTTCATAATGAATGGGCATGTTCACAGCTGTGTGGTGTGCTGGCAGCTATTTATTAATCATATTCTTTGTTAAAATATGCAGTATGAAAGCATATATTAATACATTAAGATTTTCTAAGGTGTATTTCTGTGCATTGGCTGTTCTCAGCTGTTCTTTGCAGAGGCCCTTTGTGTGGCCCCAAACTTTCTTTCTATCAGCAATTTGTATTTTACACGTCTAAAACCACATTTCACTATAGCTCACAATGTGTTTAGTGATGAAAGATACTCGCAATTCACACTTTGGGCAACTGATGCAATTGTTCTGTGTGACCATTTTGTTGTCAACTGATGTTTAATGCATTAAAGACTTCCTGCAAGAAATTAAGGCCACTTTTCATCCCATTTTTGGTAATGTCTTAACAAGTCTGAGTAGTCTTATTACGACAGGATGTTAGAGCAGAAAAGTGTGTTGTTGGAATTAAACCCAAGGTATCCCTTGAGATATCCAAACACTCGTTGTCAAAGAAGCCTTGGCCCATGGGTGCAGTTCTACCTCGATGACTGTGACTCACTTGGATACATTCTTCACAAACATGCCAGTTATTGTCATCAGGAATTAACTGCAGTGTCAGACGCTCACTAAAATTAACAGATTTTTTTGTGTATAAAATGAGGATTGGTCTTTAATACATGATTTAATATGTTTGGTTGATGCTTAGGAAAGTATGTCACTGTTAGTGCATTACTTGACTCAGGTCCTCATTATCAGTGTTGCCTTCATTTTACAACTGTGCTATAACCATAAACCTAGGCAGACACCATTTTCATCGCTTTGAAGTCTGTTTGAAATTCACAACCCAACTAGTCGCCCAGAGCGAAACCGTATTGATTGCTTATTTTTTGTATAGGCCTAGTACATAGTTTAGTTCCCTGTGCAACAGAAATATTTAGCTCCACATGTGTTTAATTGTTCTATGGTGATTTGGAGACTCAAGTGGTTTGCTTTCTCCTGGTTGGATATTTTGGGGCTGACCCGTTCAAATCAGCTTATACTCCGGTCCATGTCCCAGCCACGTGCCACTTCCCAGGCAAATTCATGTGCAGATTATAAACGGCCACAGTCCAGAAAACAGAGGCTTCCCAAACTCGAAACACTCCAAATACTATACAGGTGCATCTCAATAAATTAGAATGTCATGGAAAAGTCAATTTATTTCAGTAATTCAGCTCAAATTGTGAAACTCGTGTATTAAATCAATTCAGTGCACACAGACTGAAGTAGTTTAAGTCTTTGGTTCTTTTAATTGTGATGATTTTGGCTCACATTTCACAAAAACCCACCAATTCACTATCTCAACTAATTAGAATACTTCATAAGACCAACAAAAAATGTTTTTAGTGAATTGTTGGCTTTCTGGAAAGTATGTTCATTTACTGTACATGTACTCAATACTTGGTAGGGGCTCCTTTTGCTTTAATTACTGCCTCAATTCGGCGTGGCATGGAGGTGATCAGTTTGTGGTACTGCTGAGGTGGTATGGAAGCCCAGGTTTCTTTGACAGTGGCCTTCAGCTCATCTGCATTGTTTGGTCTCTTGTTTCTCATCTTCCTCTTGACAGTACCTCTCTATGGGGTTCAGGTCTGGTGAGTTTGCTGGCCAGTCAAGCACACCAACACCATGGTCATTTAACCAACTTTTGGTGCTTTTGGCAGTGTGGGCAGGTGCCAAATCCTGCTGGAAAATGAAATCAGCATCTTCAAAAAGCTGGTCAGCAGAAGGAAGCATGAAGTGCTCCAAAATTTCTTGGTAAACGGGTGCAGTGACGTTGGTTTTCAAAAAACACAATGGACCAACACCAGCAGATGACATTGCACCCCAAATCATCACAGACTGTGGAAACTTAACACTGGACTTCAAGCAACTTGGGCTATGAGCTTCTCCACCCTTCCTCCAGACTCTAGGACCTTGGTTTCCAAATGAAATACAAAACTTGCTCTCATCTGAAAAGAGGACTTTGGACCACTGGGCAACAGTCCAGTTCTTCTCCTTAGCCCAGGTAAGACGCCTCTGACGTTGTTTGTGGTTCAGGAGTGGCTTAACAAGAGGAATACGACAACTGTAGTCAAATTCCTTGACACGTCTGTGTGTGGTGGCTCTTGATGCCTTGACCCCAGCCTCAGTCCATTCCTTGTGAAGTTCACTCAAATTCTTGAATTGATTTTGCTTGACAATCCTCATAAGGCTGCGGTTCTCTCAGTTGTTTGTGCATCTTTTTCTTCCACACTTTTTCCTTCCACTCAACTTTTTGTTAACATGCTTGGATACAGCACTCTGTGAACAGCCAGCTTCTTTGGCAATGAATGTTTGTGGCTTACCCTCCTTGTGAAGGGTGTCAATGATTGTCTTCTGGACAACTGTCAGATCAGCAGTCTTCCCCATGATTGTGTAGCCTAGTGAACCAAACTGAGAGACCATTTTGAAGGCTCAGGAAACCTTTGCAGGTGTTTTGAGTTGATTAGCTGATTGGCATGTCACCATATTCTAATTAGTTGAGATAGTGAATTGGTGGGTTTTTGTTAAATGTGAGCCGAAATCATCACAATTAAAAGAACCAAAGACTTAAACTACTTCAGTCTGTGTGCATTGAATTTATTTAATACACGAGTTTCACAATTTGTTGAATTACTGAAATAAAAGAACTTTTCCACGATATTCTAATTCATTGAGATGCACCTGTACTGGCAGATAACACTTGACTATAGTTAGGCTACAGGCTTCATTTATTAGTTAGTGCTGCTTGCTAAGGTAAAATTGGCCATTATTTTTCTTTGTTTAAAGGGATAGTTCACCTAAAAATGAAAATGTTATGTTTATCTGCTTACCCTCAGGGCATCCAAGATGTAGGTGATTATGTTTCTTCCATAGAACACAAACAAAGATTTTTAACTCAAACCGTTGCAGTCTGTCAGTCCTATAATGTCAGTGGATAGGAATCACGGCTTTGAGAGTCATAAAACATACACAAACAAAACCAAGTTAAACCCTGCGGTTTGTGACGATACATTGATGTGTAAAGACACGAAACGATCGGTTATAAGTGCATTACCGCCACCTCTCTCTCAAATGGACCATTGACACTCCATCTACAATCTCAATTGGGAGTGTCAATGGTCCATTTGAGAGATAGGTGGCGGTAATGCACTTATAAGTCTGCGATCCGCCGTAAAGCAAGAAGACGACGACGATGTGTCACACGCCGGCTGGTGAGACCGTTCGGACATTGCGGTCAATCAGAGGTAAAAAAACTATATAAATTAAAGCTGCACGATAAATCGCATGCGATATTTAACGCGCATCTTATCAGTAAAGCCGGTTCTGTAATCAGCAGTAAATCTCCATCACCTGCGGGCTTTCACATTGAGCAGCATTAACTACACAGAGCCGTTGTTCACTGACGAGCTGCGCAAAACCACGTTCATATTGGCGCAATTTTTTGCGCAGCTCAAAGCCCGCAGGTGATGGAGATTTGCCGCTGATTACAGAACCGACTTTCTGACAAGATGCGCATTAAATATCGCATGCGATTTATCGTGCAGCCCTAATATAAATACTGTTCAGTTTCTTGCACAGACCGATCGTTTCGTGTCTTTACACATCAATGTATCGTCACGAGCCGCAGGGTTTAATTTGGTTTTGTTTGTGTATGTTTTTTTGACTCTCAAAGCCGTGATTCCCGTCCACTGACATTATATGACTAAAAGACTGCAACAGTTCGAGTTAATCTTTGTTTGTGTTCTACTGAAGAAACAAAGTCACCTACATCTTGGATGTCTTTAGGGTAAGCAGATAAACATCAAATTTTCAGTTTTGGGTGAACTATCCCTTTAAGGGTTAGGGGATTGAAAAGTGTAACTTGTCCTGAAGATTTTGTGCTACAGATATTAATGATAAACTATGCAGTTTGGAGAAGTGTGAATTTTTTTTGCCTAGTAGACAATACAAAAACAAATCCTAGGCTTGCATTAAAAACAGAGACCTGGGCTATATTTAAACACCTGAATATAACAGAGGCTTGGACTCTTGAAAAATAACACGGTAAAACACTACGAACACCTTAGTAACCACATGGCAACACCCTGGTAACTACCCACAGCACCCTAGTATCGTTTTGGAGATTTTGCACTGGCATGTATTATAAAAATAAACAGCACTACTCAAAAATGGGAAAATATTGACAATCTAAGAATGTATTTTTTTTAATGCTCACCAAAGCTGTGTCTATTTGATTAAAAAACACAGTGAAACCATAATATTGTGGAATATTATTAGATAAATATTACTATAAGATCTGAGATCACTGAATAGAGATGATGACAACCCCTCAGAGAACCTCAGATGACGACAACCCTGAACCAACATACAAAACTACCAAATTTTGCTTGCAACACAATCATTGCTGTTAATCGTCTTCTCCATTTATGTGAATACATGTCATTAACTAACTGCATGATTTTTACTGTACCTTTCTGCCATATGGACATCACCTTGACATAGTCACCACCACTGATAAGCTACTTCTAAATATAATGTAGAAACTTTAATTTTCTGTGAAGCTGCTTTGCAACGGTTTGTATCGTGAGGAGAAGCGCTATACAAATAAATGTGAATTGAAAAAATGTAATTGAATTTTTAAATAACTGTTGTATTTGAATAGGTTTTATAATTGTAATTTATCCCTGCCATGGCAAAGCAAAATTTTCAGCAACAAAGTTACTGTCTTCAATGTCACATGATCAATCAGAGATCATTCTAATATATGCTGATTTGATGCTGAAGAAATATTTAGAATCGAATTCAAAAACAGTTGTGCTGCTTAATATTTTTGTGGAAACGGTGATACTTTTTTTTTCTAGATCCTTTGATAAATAGATAGTCCAAGAGTAATTTCTTTAAAAAAAAATAATAATTACACTGTGATCCCAAACTTTTCAGCAGTAGTGTATGTAAGCTCTTGAAATACACCTTGAAACTCCAGTCTATGATGCAATTCATGGAAGATGTTCCCTGTTGAGTGCTCACTGTAGCAGCTCTTTAATCCAGTGCTGACATCTATAGCTACGCTCATTTAATGTCTTACACACTCTTCTAATGTGGGAATGGCTGTTGTTGCAACATATGCCTCTTTAAATAATAATATTTTTGCATACAGCGCCAGACACCCATCTTATTACAGGACTCTGATACGTGCTTGCTTTATTACTAGTTTGTTTGATCATCTGGTGCTTGATTAGATCATTCCGAGCATTTGTTTATATTGGTCTTTATAATTCTTTTTTTTTTCCATACAGAGGTCAGATCCACAGCTGCTGGCCCAGTTCTACTATGCAGATGAAGAGCTGAACCAAGTGGCCATTGAGCTGGACAGTCTGGACGGCAGAAAGGACCCTCAGAGGTGTACACTGCTGGTCAACCAGTTCCGCTCCTGCCAGGTTAACCAGTTCACTCCACTTATGGTCTTACAGTAGAGAGCTTAGTTTGGTTTGGCCATTTTGATCAGCAGTTGTTTGTTTTTCATTCTGTAATGTTTAAGAGTGAGTCTATTAGAATCTATTTGAATATATTGTAAAATATAATATTCCTGTGATGGTAATGACAGCCATTACTTGAGTCTTTAGTCACGCAATCTTTCAGAAATGTGTCTTATCACTATTAAAAACAATTGTGCTGTTTAATATATTTGTGGAAACTGTGACACTTTTTTGGATTCTTTAGAAAGAAAGTTCAAAAGAACAGCATTTATTTGTAATCTTTTATAAAAAATATGCGCATAATTTTTTTAATGCGCATTTTGGATGATTGCATAAAAACCACTGGATGGAAACGTCAAGATGCGCATAAATTCTAAACGGAGTAGGATCAACTTTTTATCCAATAAGAAAAAAATGCGCATAAACTACGATGGAAACACATTTACCGAATAAATTCCACCATGCGCATTGAAAAAGTCATGTGACTTTGCGCTGCGAGACGGGATAACTTGACTAACCAGCGGACCGATCTCGTTCACAGCATCTATATGTTGTTTTGGTCGTTCTGAAATGCCTGAGGAAAGTCTGTCATCAAAGTATTTCTGTAAAATTACTGTCTTGCATGACTGCGTTCCCAAACAGCAGGCCTCCACCTCTAAAAGCAATGACCGTATTTATTGTGTTACGTCTGCTCTCTCTGAAGTGCAAGTAATTTATTACATATGAAAATGATTATATTCAGTGGCTTCTCCTAGTTTTCTTAGAGATGTTTAGTGCCAGTTTATCAGGAAGTGACGATTTTGATCTCTTTGACTCGTTGGATGGAAACTGTGCTTTATTCGCAAATGTTTTATGCGATATTCCAGTTTTGCGCATAAGTTAAATTCGTATCTTTGGATGTAAACATAGCTACTGTCACTTTTGATAAATGTAATGCATTCTTGCTACATGAAAACATTCATTACTTCTAGTTTTTGTAAAAACGTACTGACCCCAAACTTCTGAATGGTGGTAATTTTCCACAGTCATGGAAATTGGAAATCCGATAATTATCAGGGGATGATGAAATCTAGGCCTAGGAAAGTCATGGCAATTTCCTGAAAGCAAATTTCAAGAAATTTCTACAGTGAATATAAATAACTAAATGACCTGTCTCACTTAAACCCTTAAAAATGAATGTTCTAACCCTGCATGTTGTGTATCTTCTCAATATTTGTATAGGACAATGTTTTAAACATCATAAATCAGATCATGGATGAATGCATACCTGAAGACCGAGCCAACAGAGACTTCTGTGTAAAGTTCCCAGAAGAGATCCGCCATGACAACCTTGCCGGGCAGCTGTGGTTTGGGGCAGAGGTAGTGCACACTAACTACTTCCCTTCAGAATGAAGCATCTTCCCTAGAGATATTTCTTGTTAGCTTTCAAAAGAACTTAATGATGATGAAGAACTTTACTGAAAAACCGTATTCCATTGCAATATTTTACTAACAGTGTATCATAGCTGTCACTTGTGGCACAGGGCGTAACCCATTAGAAGCAATGATGATATTATTATCACTCCTCTCTCCAGTGCCTGGCAGCAGGATCAATCATTATGAATCGTGAAATCGAGAGCATGGCCATGAAACCACTAGCTAAAGACCTCACCCGTAGCCTGGAGGAAGTACGCAACATCACACGAGACCAAGCGCTACGAGATCTCAACAACTACACAGACCGCTTGAAGGAGGTGCTACGTCAGTTTGACAGCCTCTTCGCTGAGTTTGAGCTCAGGTACCTTATAATGCGGTTTCGATTTTTGCATCCACTTATCCGACCTTGTGATGATATAATTATGATGATGCCTGGGGTCCATTCATGGACAGTTCATGAATCATTACAAGATGCCTTTATACCAGCAGATTTTTCAAACCGTTATAATTTTTACAAAATGTGGTGTTAATGTAATCATATAATGGATCTGTCTGTTTCTTATTGTAGCTACGTGTCAGCCATGGTGCCTGTGAAGTCTCCTAAAGAGTATTACATCCAGCAGGAGGTGATTGTGCTCTTCTGTGAGACAGTTGAGAGGTGAATATTCAGATCTTGGACTGGGTATTGCCCGCTACATCCCTATACAATACACTTCACATGGTGATATGATGCATTGCGATATTAATTTGAAAGAAACATGATCAGTATCATTTTGTAGCACCATGTATTTATTTATTTACTTGTTTTTTTATTTATTATTAATAAGCAAATGTCTTGTTTTCCCATCTCAAGGGCCCTAAAGCTTGAGTATCTTACACAAGACATGATTGATGACTACGAACCAGCTCTCATGTTTACAATCCCTAGACTTGCCATTGTTTGGTAAGTGATGTGTCATTCTAATGATCTGTTTTTTTTTCATGTCATCCACCTCTAAAATGTTCATTATCATCCCACTGTATATGTCATACTCTTTTAATGGTATCTTTTGTCGTGTTTTGTCTTATTAGTGGCCTTGTTATCTACTGTGAAGGGCCTCTTAACCTAGACCGCAAACCAGAGGACATGTCTGAACTCTTCCGGCCTTTCCGTACTTTGCTGAGAAAAATAAGGTATGGTTAGTGTTCACAGTAGTCATTCACGGACACCTCTGATTTGGTCATCTGATGCAGGTGTGGCCAGAGGTTATTCAGTGAGATTTTGTAAATTCACATGCATCAGTGACTGCATCGGTCAAATCTGTGGTTTGGTTTGCTTTGATTGCGTGATTTATGTAGTCAATGATGTATTAAAGGCTTACAACATGTCTACACCACACCACAACAGCTCTGAACGGTGCATTTGTGGCGCAGATGTGTGGAGTATGTCAGAAATAGTGTGGGGCATCAATTAACATTCAGTGTCTCATTGTGCCACATCCAGTCTAGACGGTGTCACTGATTATGATGGGTTGCTTTGAAAGAACAACACCTGTCTACACCAGACACAAGCAGCACAACAAAATCTAACTCATACAGTATACAAGAGTCTTTTTCAAGTGTCTTAATGAGTTTATTTGTGCATCACTGGATTATTGTCTCTCTGTAATTGTATAGATTTATAATATCTGCATCAGCACTGAGATTTCAAATTGAAACCCTATTAACTTTTTATGTAGCAACTGAAGAAAATGTTAGATTTGTGAATCATATAATTGTGTTCTTCCTGGCAGGGACCTGCTGCAGACTTTAACGGAAGAAGAGCTCGTGACGCTGGAGCACAGCCTCTGCATCTCCCAGGATGGAGATTTCCCTGCAGGCTCCAGTATGTCATCGACCAATGACCCAGCTGCTTCCACTGGTCCTGAGAGCCATCTAGAGACACTGGAACAGGATGATGGAGTCGAGGAGGTGGTGGATCTCACACTTTGTGTAGCCCAGGAAGATGATTCTGCATGGAAGGAGAATGAGGAGAGAAAGGAGCAGCCCGAGTCCTCCAGTGAGAGTGAAGAGGAGGAGGCCACAGATGCAGAGTTGGCTTGCTCCATGCAGTATGATGAAGAAGAGAGAGAGCAACTTAATATGATGGTGCATCAAGTGGGGGACGAAATGTCTACGCTGCTTTCCCCTCCAAGTCAGAGTCAGTCTCCAGCCCATCGGCCTCGGCCCTATAGAGGAAGTAGTCTCGAAGGATCCAGTGCCGCCTCCAGCACTCACGTATCTCCGCGGAGAGTCCCGGGATCATACCACGATGATGATCGAGTGTTCTTTATGGACGACCTGGAGTCTGGTGTAACTAGCGAGCTGTGCCGCGGGCAACTTCCTCTTCCTACCATATGCTTTAGATCCCCAGAGCACAGTAGGCCCGCCCTGTTGACTGACTCCACGTGTAACGGTTGGCTGACAGTCTGTCAATCAAGCAATGACAACAATATGGTTTGCCAACGCCAATCAGCCGAGTCTGTGGGGAGCTCCGAAAGGTCACCCATGGTGAACGGCTGGGAAGGGTCACAGGAGGAGGACAGCGTACAGACTGCGGAAGAAATCGCCAATCGGACCGGTGGAATGAAATTGTCCGCCACTGTTATATTTAACCCTCATTCCCCAAGCTTGACCGACTTGGCCGTCGTTGTACCTCATTCAGCAAGCGTTCTGGAATCCGGTGAGGGCGGGGCTTTAGTTGCCACTCAGTGCCTACTTAACTCCTGCGTGTGCTGCACTGGCGGATGCGAGGATGCCCTGGAGCCTGCTGGACGGGGCATGACGCTGGGGTTTGAGAAGCACAAGCTCACCATTACGAGCTCTGTCTTTCAATCAGCAGTAGCTGCTGGCAGCCCAGGGAAGGGAAATGGACATTTACCACTCACTCTGCCCCCTTCTCAGGTCCACCTCACCCCTTCTGTACCACACGGTTCTGTGCAGAACCAAGTGAGAGAAGATGAAGGTAGTCAGGACTTTTCCCACTATCCCTGCTGTGAGAAATGTGCCCCAGGGGTTCTTCTGACTCAGGATAGAGGCTCGGGACAAGGGGAGGGAGGACCTAGTTGCACCCATCAGGACACGGGATGCCCGACGCAACCTAAAACTACAGTTAAAGGGAAATTGGAAGGTTTTGGAAAACAGCCAAAGGAAGATAACAGAAAGAACTCTAGGTTTGTTTACTTGTGTGTGAAATTTCATTTGAATGACATGAATCAGGTTTTCTTGATTTGACAATTTTGAAAATGTTTTGTTTGTTGCCTTTTTTTGGATATGAGTTGATTTCATTATGAAAGTTGTCATTCTTTTCGGTTCTCATATTTTGTTTTCATCTGTTGCCCCCCCATGTTTTTTTTGCAATGGTCGGCAGCAGTTCTCAGGAGTCCCCCCTCAGTTCTGTCCCCAGCAGTGACATTGATGGTGTTTCTATCACTACATGCAGTTTGTCGAGTTCATACACACCCAGGTAAACATGTCTAAATTTTGACTGATGGGTTAAGGTAAAATATGTGAGCCCTGTTACTATAGAGGGCTGTAGGGAACAAACATATTGTTGTAGTCCAAAAGTTAGCATAACCTTGGTTCCCTCTGCAAAACAAATAACCAACAAAAGTATGCAGTTATTGTATGTTTGTTCATCAAGATCAATTTTACAACTGAACACATGAATTTTGAAGCCTAAGTACAATTGCCAGAAGTAAAAAGCTGAAGTTAGACTACAATATACACCATGGTCACATGACTTAAATGTCACTATCACTGAGGTTCCAACAACTTTATAAATTTTTATTTAAAATGTACAATTCTGCAAGTTTAATAGTTTGCAAGAGCATGAGTATTAACTCGATTAGGTTGTAAAAGCTAACTAGTGAATAGATGAGTTTACCTGTTCAACATGGAGTTTAATGTGCCCACTGCCTTTTTCCAGGCATGTAAAAGCTTAAAAAAAATCATGAGTGAGGTATTAAATATATCACTTATGTAGGGCTGTGCAATTAATCGAATGCGATTGTCAAGTGCATCTCGTCAGTAAAGCCGGTTCCGTGATTGGTAGTAAATCACCATCACCTGCTTTCAGATGGAGCGGCATTTAGTACACGGAGCCGTAGTTCACTGACAATCTAAGTAATATCGCGTTCATAATCGAATGCGATTCATCTGCGATTATGAACGCGATATTGCCTAATTGTCAGTGAACTACAGCTCTGTGTAGTAAATGCCGCTCCATCTGAAAGCAGGTGATGGAGATTTACTACTAATCACAGAACCGGCTTTACTGACGAGATGTGCATGACAATCGCATGCGATTAATTGCTCAGCCCTACTCTTTATGTTATGGATAAAGTGAAAATATCCTGAGTGCGTGTTAATACAGACATATTTCAGGCATTTAACCAAAATACCTTCGAAAAAACCCATTGTCTTCTGCACAGTGGAACAGGAAGTGCAAAAATGCTAATTTATTTATGGGTTTTAGGACTCGTACATAAAGCACTCTATAGGTTATGTTTAGTTTTTGATACTAGCTAAGGCTTAGAAGTTTGTGATTTTGGTTTTCAAAGGTTTCCTAAAATCGCCCCCATCTCCCATTGGTAGTCCCGCCGAAAAGCCAATGGTCCTGTTTTGGGCTGATTGAGCTGTTGAAACAAACACAACAATGTTTTATTAGCTCATATCACTGCCTTTCACCCCAGGTAGTAGAGTATGACTGATTACATGTATACCTTAAATGCAGCGCAAGTTGCTTTGGTCGATGTTGCGGGCTCTGGAGATGGGTTCTTTTGACTATTTTTGACAACTGAAATAGCAGCGCTATAAGAACAACCTTTCAGAACATCTTGTTGCACATAGCAATGTCCTGGCTATCACCCAGAAGACCCTAGCAACTGCATTAAACTCACATACATAATGACATCTTAGCATCCATACAAAAACACCTTGACAAACACTGCTTTTGCAGGGTGAAAAAATAGCATGTATATGTTTTTCAGAAAATTTATTTTAACATCAGTGTGAATGATGTGTGAAAATCAAGTCCTAAAATTTGCTCTGTGATTCCTGCAAGCTGTTGCACAAATCCCATAGTGTTCCCTCAGCCATAGGGTCACATTTTCTGGATTAACTCGATTATGTGAAATTCTCTCTTGAGGAAGGCCAGCAGTTTCAACCTCGTTTCAAACCATGAAATTACTTAGTTATACTTTATTTATTTTTTAATTACTGTTAATCATTTTTCAAAGATTGAACACGAGACAATTATATCTTACTTTTTTTATTAGTCTTAATACTATTATTAATTTGATTTTAACCTAATAATCTTCCCTTTCAGTCCTGTCAGTAGCCTGACAACCAGCTCGGACATGTCTGAGGATCTGGATCATCAGGAGATTCAAGTGGCTTTGCAAGCTGCCAAACTCGCTGCTCACTACAAAATTCGCTCACGTTTCCATAGCAGTAGTGACCTCATCCATCGCCTTTTTGTCTGCATATCAGGTGTGTTACCCAATGATTTGTGGGATTTGGAGTCTGATGAAGGCTTTGTGATGCTTGGTAAAGCCTTGTTTGAGTGGCAGAACAGCATTTCTACTGAAGTAAAAATCTATATGGATCATTAAATACACAGTGTAAATGAACACCAGAACGGCTTGAATTTTGTTTGCATTGTAAGACTTTCCAGTCCAGATCCAGTCTTATTTACATCCAGTAATATTGTTTAACATTTCAGTGTTGCCTACTAAGTGCACTGTAAAGCTTAAGTGTAAAGTGTAACCTACTAAGTGCACTGTAAAGCTTAAGTGTAAAGTGTAACCTACTAAGTGCACTGTAAACTTTAAAGCCTAATACATGGATGGTAAAGCCGATTATAAAATGTGCTAGGTTCACTGTAAAGTGTAACCTACTAAGTGCACTGTAAAGTGTAAAGCCTACCACATGGATGGTAAAGCCGATTATAAAATGTATATCTAGCTCTGTAAAACTAACAATATTTGTCTTTAAAATATCTGAAGGTGTGGCTGATCAGTTGCAAACTAACTATGCGAGTGACCTGCGAAGCATCTTAAAGACTCTATTTGAGGTCATGGCTACAAAATCCGACCAAGGGGACACTGAGAAGCCCAAGAAAGGTTAGTGAGGCACACTTCTGAAAGATACAGATGCTGTAACAGCATGTTTTTATCGCCCGATGTCAGACATCATTAGTTTAATGTGCTGTTTGTTATGCACCTCAGGTCCTTGTCTGGCCAGTGCTGTACTGGAAGACTGTGCTCTCTGTCAAGAGACCATCTCTTCATCAGAGCTTGCTGCCAAAGCCCGAGAGGGTCAGTTTGAAGGTTAGTTCAGTACACCACCTATATACTCACAATATGAAAAGGCTTTTTATTTTGATATACATGATACGACAAAACCTTGGCTGCATCTGAAATCACATACTCTATGACTTGGCACTTTTTTTTTTTAACAAGAACGTACTTTGTGACTGTTAAAAACTGTATTCTATGTAGTATGACTGTGTGTAGGTTACCCATCTTTTATGAATTCTCACCTGTGTTCTTTGTATGCGCATTTCAGATTCTCACTAGATGTAGTTGGTCATCCGGGTACTTTTCGCCTACTGTTTTCTGAAGCTGTGAATTTGAACATACTGATTGTCATTAGATTTCTATATACTCTATATTGTAGGGAAGTAGGCATATTTAGATTAAGCCCTAGTGAGCTGCCTAACTAGACAATTTAAAGCATCATAGTCTTGCTCTAAATACACAACTTTTTTCAAAAGATTTTAAGATACACCATACAGTCATCAGGTTTGTCAATTCCAGTAATTTCTTTGAGAACAAATCCTAATGAGAATTGTGGGCTTTCAAACAAGAGAATCAGCAAACTCAGTCAATAGAAATGTTAATGGGAAATATAGAATGATATTTTTAGTGAGGATGCTGCTTTAGAAGGCATCTGCCTATGTTGCCATGGTACTAGGTTTTAGAGCATTGCTAATATGTAATACTGTAAGAAGATAAACGGCCACTACTTCAACACCTGACAGACCTTTCTTCATTTTTGCAACCCTTTCTCTGTTCTTTTTTCAACATCAGACCCTCCTGAATGGGTACCAGATGAGGCCTGCAATTCCTGCATTGCATGTAAAGCGCCATTTACAGTCATCAGAAGGAAACATCACTGCAGGAGCTGTGGAAAGGTCAGAATAGAGTGCAGTTGTTTCCAGGCGTAAAAATCTCATTTATTTTCTCCATAGAGAAACCAATTCTTTCAAGACCTAGATATATTTATTTAAAAAGAGTGTGTGTGTGTGTGTGTGTGTATATCTCAACTTTTTTGTAGTAATGTTAGAATGTTTAGTTTTAATACTTTAATAGTGTATATATATATATATATATTTTTTTTTTATTATTATTATTTTTTTTTTTATAGTCTGTAATGTTGTGATTTATTTTGGAGCCAGATGATTTGGTTTATGGTTAAGAATTTTGTTACTCTATATGGTGAAAATAATTAGGGTCATTCCGTGTAAAATAAACCAAATTTCAGATGGTTGAAAAGTGGTTGAAGCTCAAATTTTTGATTTTGTTAATATTTTTTTCTGTAGAAAGACAAACATGAACAGCATTGAAAGCCAAAATCCAACAATCCAACTTGGGGACCAACATAAAAAGCCGTTCAGAAAAAAGTATTGCGATGGCCAGAGCATAAAAGATTACATTTATTGGAAGAAAAAAAATAGCAACAAAATTCAACAAAGAATAAACATAGACCGCTTAAAGACTGGTGAGCTAACTAATCTAAAACCACCACTTCCTCAGAATTAAAACCTTCCTAACTCTCCTAAATGTTCATATAATTTATATTATATATACATATATATCATATATAAACAATATATTTCTCTTAAATATAAACATGCATGTGTGTATATTTATATATACATAATAAATATACACAGTACACACACATATATTATGTAAACAAAAACTTTTATTTTGGATGCGATTAATTGTTGCCCAGCACTAATTCTAGTTAACTAAACAAACAACAATATGTTTCCTAGGGCTGCCACCATGAAATGCCATCAGCGGCTCTTAAATAGGCAGATGTTTCAGGATTTAAAGTAATTAGTCTCCGCCCCCATCCAACTGGCAGTTACTAATAAAAAAAGAGAAAGAAAACAAGAGAAACCGAGCAGGGGCTCATAACATGATTCCAATCCTAATGAGATGATGTTTTATTGCAGATCTTCTGTTCCCGCTGCTCATCACACTCAGCCCCGTTGCCTAGATACGGTCAGATGAAACCGGTGAGAGTTTGCACTCACTGCTACATGTTCCACGTAACGCCTTTCTACAGCGACAGGACTGGTATCTGACCACAGCGCTCTCTCTCTCTCACACACACACACACACACACAGAGACATGAGCACACTACCATGAGTTTTACTGAGACTTCATCGGGAACATACGTGCACATCATTTTCGTCATCCTCCAAAAAAATTGTAAATATGAACACTAAATGCAATCACTTAAAAGCGAAAGAAACCACCTTGACCAGGGAACAAAGTGAGAAGGACTGAAATGGTAACGGTTGGGAATGACTCAAGCACATAAAGGAAGTACCCCATCGCTATGGGAGCCAAAGTATTTATTTAGGGCTTTGCTTTAAAATAATGAGCTTAATTACAAATTTGTTTTAATCGAGCATGGAACAAGTGGGCTATTCTGTAAAACAGAAGTGCACCCGAAAAAATACAGCTTGTTAATAGGATTTTGTCTGGCAGTAATTGTGGCTTTATTAACACCGGAGGCTCTATGGGCTCAGTTTTCCAGAGTGAATGTAAACTGTGAGCACATTATTAATTTGAGAATTACAAAACTGTGACATATATGAAGACAATAATACTAACACTAACTGCACCATCAGTGACACCTTTGTGGCACAATATAGCACAGATGTTTTTTTTCCAAATGTTTTTATTTAGACAATAATGCTGCTTTCTGTAAAACAGAGAAGTGATATTTGGGGATTAGATGAATGGCCAAAAATACATGCGTGTATGTGTGTGTGTGTGTGTGTATATATGTATGTGTATATATATATGTGTGTGTATATATGTATATATATATATATATATA